AGTTGGGTAGCGTTTGGACAGAACTGCCCTAAACCACAACGGAGACATGTTGTCTGACCTGCTTGGATTTGGTACCAACCCCAATGGCGACGACGAAAAGAAAAAGAGTTGATATATATAGTTGTTTTTCGAACGCAGTAAACATTAAACAGCTATCGTTGGAGAAAAAGGACTGAAATGACTCTCTTCCTCTTTTTCTTTCTCTCTGTCACTGCCTTACCTATTACTTCTCAGTCTTTATCATGTACTCCCGGTTTCTTCCTCAGTGGAACTGTCTGCTGGAAATGTACTGTAGGATCGTACTGTCCTGATGGTGAGACTCAAATCTCATGTCCTCCAGGCAGTTATACTGACCTCTATGAACAATTTGCTTGTCGTCGATGCCATTGGGGTTGGTACCAAATCCAAGCAGGTCAGACAACATGTCTCCGTTGTGGTTTAGGGCAGTTCTGTCCAAACGCTACCCAACTGCCACAATCCTGTCCTGCAGGAACCTACTCTGACCTCTACGGACAAGTTAAATGTCGTCCTTGTCCAAAAGGTTACTACAATATTCAGCCGGGTGCAACCTATTGTACAAAGTGCTTTCTGGATGTTGAATGTTCCAATTCGACAGTGTCACCAAAACCGTGTGCTACTGGTTATTATAACCCACTTTATGCACAGACACAGTGTCGTCGTTTTCCAGCTGGTAACAGAACAATTCATATACCGGGATGTTTAAATGTCAATGGTTAATCAACTATTTTCTCGTCGTCTGTTATTGTTTTTCAATGTAAGAAGCTAAAGTGTATTGTTTTTATTCATAACAAAGATTTCTAGACACTCCTCCTCTAGGCTCTTATAGTGAAATTACATCTTTTTAGTCATCTTTAGCGTCGTGCTTATATAAAGACTATCTTGAGAGTGAATCAGATATAGAAGTCTTTACAATTCAAGAAGAATTTCAAAGAAGTTTGCAATGAGCTACCACGACGCGTTTCGATCTTGTTCAAAGATTTAATCAGGTGGCTGAAAAGGTGGATGAACAGGGCTTCATGGAACTGCGTAACTGTAATGTGAAATAAGTTACGAGATACAGTTGTAATGGACGGCCGAATGTTTTGGCTGGGCGTTGTAGATGTCAGGAAAAGGACGAATTATGCGACGTAATATGAGCTTTGCTGAAGGCGCTTTTGGGTCCACGGAAGAGGTATAAAACATGCGAAAGGGGATGTTTGGAACATGTCTCGTAAAGGAAAGTAAACTGAGAATTATGATGAAAACAGTGACAGGCAGACCTCTTTATTGTTGGATGCATGTTTGAGTGCGGAAGTGTATTGCATAAGTTTGGCGAGAATAAGTTTATTGATTGGTGAGCGTGAATTTAGTAGATTGATGTAGAATGGAAACAAGAGGGTTATGGCAGCTTTAGTCAAGAAGAATAGCGCACGAATGACCTGATATGGTCAGGAATTTGGACGTGATTTACTAAGTAGATAAGGGACCGAATGAGAAACGGTTCTATTTTGTTGATTGACACTGTATTATAGTAAATTCCGATTCCAACTATAGTGTAAATTAGCGTAATCTTTATGATTTTTATTTCTAGTGGAATTCGGAATCCTCCTATAGTGGAAATTAGAATCCCAATTTCCACTAGTTAAAATTAGAATAGTCGCTTTATTCTAATCTGCACTAGTGGAGCTTGGAATTCCAATTGACACTAGTGGAAATTAGAATTCTAATTACCACTTCCATATATATATATAAAATATCTTACTTTTTAAACTTCGTTTGAAGCGAAGGTAATTTCTTCACGCCTTTTTGCGGTTTTCAACTACTATTTGGACATCATCAATGACTTTGTTATAAAATACCAAATAAGTTCTATGATTAAGATTATATCTTAAGTACGCTGCAGTTTCAGTTAGTTTGGGAACGGAGGGATATAATCTTTCTACTTTAGTCGTATAAATAAAGAATAGGCCTTTAGCGATCAAACATAAATTGACATTTGTAGAAAAGGAAACGAAAGTCAAGCCTGTTCCTCCGAAAGTTCAATCACTTGCTACAAAAGGATCATCCATAATTTTTCCGACGTCTTGCATGTCCTAACATCCCCTTCCAGACTTGGTTACACCATGTTTTACTCGGAGTTTTCTTCGAGAATATGATGTAATTAAGTTTTGACATAGAAAAGATCTTATTTCTTGTGCAAGATATCAGTTTCTTGGGTCGAAGGAAAGCATAGGTTTAAGGGTCATTAAAGCTTTAAAGTTTTTGTTCAGGCAGCTGAGACACTGATTCCACCATGTTTTATCCGGATTTCTCTTCGGAAACATGATGCAATCATGCTAGATCATTCACCTCAGGTTCACTCAGACAATGAACTTAAAATGAGCGCACAGCAATTTTATTTCTGTTACTTTATAGTATAAAATTTATACACTTTCTCAATTGCTGTGTATTATGAAGTTATTATTCAACCTACTCAAGCTTTCATATCACTTTTATATAGGGTCTATGATGCGCGTGTCAACTGAAAAAGAAAAATGCATCATTTTTCTCTTATATTTCAAGTCGTTTGTATAGATCATAGATCGTCTATATTTGGGCTATATAACAAAATATAAAAGTATCAACGAAATATAGACTTCACGCAAAAAAGGCATTCACGTGTTTCATTGAACTTTGCTGGCAAAAAAGACTTTTTTCTTCAACTTGATTGAAAATCTCTATGTATTTGTATGGACGTGTTCTATTTAGGAGCAGACAGAAAAGAAATTCATAGTAACCTTCATTTTTATCTTAATTAATAAGACATGGAACAAATCTTAAATATTTTTACATAGATCAATAGCCCTGACCCTGCTCGACAAATTGAAAACTTTTTTTCCACCTTTAGAAACGACTTCAAAAATTAGAATAGAGTCAACGTGAAATGTTTCGTGTTCTAATTGCGGCCAACGACCCTAAGTTGAATGATAGGGCAATCTAAAAAGAAGACTTTTCTCCGTTTTATTATAACTATATTTGGGATATGCATTTTCAGTCCTAATACAGATCATCCGAAAGTAACCATCGGAATAGGTGTGAGTCATTTTATAAACCTATCTAGTTTTTTGTATGAATAGCTACATCCCTCATTTAACCATCATTAAATTCGCCTTGAATTCAGCTTTAAAAGCATGCTTCACTTTTTTTAAATTTTGCTACTGAGAAAATTCATTTTTTCTAAATCTGTGGCAAAAAAGTCGGGAATTCTGCCCCTAATTCCCAATTTTCCCAATCAGAAATTATTCATTGTGTGTATTTCAAAAATTTTGATTCTTTATGTTTACTTCTTAGGGAGTGAAAATCTGAAACCTGACGCTGAAAAATTATACTAAATTTGCTTTTTATTCGTAAAAGTATTGTAAAAAGCCAGACGTTTCAATTTATTAGAAAAAAATTTCTTCAGTGACACAAAAGTAAGAAAACGTAAAAAGTAAATCAAGAATTTAAAAGACAGCTAAACATCAGCATAGACAAAATAACTTTCTACAATTCTACGAAATGTTGAGTACAGAAATTGTACAACTATGACGCAAACGATACTCCAGGCATATGTAGATACCACTGCTCTTTGTTATCATAATTTTTCGTTTCGTTTATGTGTAAGTAAATAGCAAAGTACACGAGGTACAGAAAAATAGAGTAAAGTAAAGACAAGGCGTACACAAGGTTAAACTTAAATTTAGAAATACAGCCTAAAATTACAAGATGAGTATAGAGACTAATGGAAGATGAGTCTTGTAACAACGTGGATTTGAAAAGAGTTTGTACTCTCTCTCTCTCTGTCTTTGCTAGCACTCTACTGCTCCTAATTCATTCAAGATTAACATGATCTACAATTCTGTGACATTCTCTGTGAAGAAAACAAGGTTTTTTGCCTCAAATTCGGCGAACCAACTCTTTCGCGTAAAAATTCATACTTTTCTCGTTTCAAAGAAGTGGATAAAATCATAGAAGAAAAACTATGGGTTCGTAAAAGTGTGATTATCGGTAGAAAAAAGAATGGAAAACGGACATTGAGAAACCTTGAAGAGAAAGTAATGACATTTCTACGGCTATTTTTCACCTCGTACATGTTAAACTTTTTTATTATTTTCCATTTTTCTGACAAACTACTGCGTGAAATGAAGGAATAATTTCAGAATCGTGATCACCGTCTGTGAAAGTATACATTCTATAATTTTTAGCCAAAAGCGGCTAAAAATAAAATGAAAAGAAAACGTTGTGGTATACGAGATTTGAACAACTGATTAATGAATCTGAAGCATTTTCATACAGGTATTTTCAGACGGTTTTGGTAACTAAACTATACCATTGGTCTCAGTGTGCAAAGCTATATGCTCACTTCTCAGTGCGTATCTTACGCACCTACGCCGAGCATTCTAGACAGTCACTGGGATAAGATTTGGTGTTCACTTTATAGGTGTCACTTAAACACCTTTTTTTAACAATGTGGGCTTGTCCAATTAACGCAGATCGGTAGACAGGAAGCAACATGAGAATGAGTTTGAAAAATTTCATTCGGGTACTTCCATTTAGGTCCGCCCAGTTTATACAGACATAATAGCCGAAAAAATTTCATAGAATCCCATATTTGTTTAACGCAATAATTAGTTTATGAGCGGAGCGTTGCCTCTATTGAAAACACATTGTCACGGAATGACAGAGTCATAACCGAACTTTTCTGCAAAGGAAATGATTTTGCCATCTTTTTGTCCAAAAAAATATATGATTGATTTAGTTTGCAGTGGAAATTGTGTGCTAATGTACAGGTAGCGCTTCACTTAGCAGGTTGTTTTCTCTCACTTCGATTAAATTTATTTTGTTTTTTCTTTGAGGATCCAGTTTTTCGAGGCTCTTAGAAAACTTGCTCATAAATAATTCAAGCATTTTCTGGTTACTTTTGATTGCATCATATGTACTACATGTATATGCAATGAATATTCTTTCGAAACATGGCGGTTAATTGTTTCTGAAGAAGTAGAAACAATTAGAAAAGAAAACCAAGCTCGATAAACCAGTATGCAATGAAATGAATAGAGGGATAGTAGGGGAATGATGATCGGGGGAAGAGGAATAGCGACCGACGGACTGGAATATATTTTGAAACGTCCCCTTAGTCATAACGATTAAAATTTTACTGGAACATTTTAATGATGTTTAGTTTTTGAATTTTTTCTCAATGAACTTTTTGCGAGAGAAAATCTTGTTTGATATACGTTTTATAGTTTAGAGTTTACTCTTTCAAACAACTAAAAGTAAAGTCTCCAGAATATTGGAAACATGGAGAAACTGGGATCAATATTTATTGTAAAACTTATGCATAACTCGTTACGTATATACATAATCCTGCACTCATTGATTTTTGACTAAACAGAACACTTTGGATTACAGGTGGCTCTAACATTGGAACTGATTTGTTTGCACGACTGAAGTGCCGCTTTTCGTGAACAGGTTATGTGCAACGGACGCATTATTCTTTGTGGTTTAAATCAAGCTTAATGACAACTTTGTTCTTATTATATTATAATGAAAAAGCATTTTTATTTTATCTAGATTTGTGTATTGTATTGGTGCATGCCTAGGTTAAATCAGCAAATCTGTCACAAGACATTAAAAGATCATTAAAAACAAATCATATAGGCAATTTTCTACAAGGAATTCAATTGAGATAATATAAAAAGCTGATTCTTGCATTAATA